GACTTTGTGTTGTTGTAGATGATGAATGATGGTGATTGAGGTGTGGCTACAATGGGGTTTCATGGGAGAAATTCTGTGACCCGAAAATACTCTTTTTTATTATGAGTCATTATTTTTTTGTCATTCATTCAATGTACCTACTCTGAATGTCCTCGTTGTTTGTGTGGTTTAATGGTTGAGTTATGAGCAGTTTCTACTTAGTAACTGAACTTTTACTTCTTTGGGTTTAGGAATAGGATTTGTGGTGTTAATATTTTTTTACCCTTCTTTTGAATCCAGGTGTTGAATTCGAATTTGTGTGAATCTTGATATCTGTGTCCTGTTTGTAAATTGTAATATGCTAATATCTGAATCCTTAGAGAGAAACCTTGTCTCCTACCGTAGTTCACTTGTTCCTCACGTGTGCTGAAGAATATATGTATCATGTAACCAGCCTTTTTAAATTCAATCAAGTTTTTGAGTACAAAATTCCTATACCAAAGGTAACATGGGTTAGTGTCTCGGTATGTCTAAAGGGAAAGGAAAAAAGACTGAGGGAGCAACATGAGGTGCCTGTGTCAAACTTAAATAAGAACATTTTAGTTTTAGGGGCTATTTTGCTGTTTTACGTCCAGGGATTGAAGTTAATGCTGAGATATTTTGTTTGTTATTTGTCTAGGTTTATTTTGTTGGAGGTCTAAGTTATAAGATCTGCAACTATGGATGATAAAAAAGAAAATTTATTACCATCCCCCTCACCGAGCCAGATGTTATTAATTGATGAGGAACTTTGGCGGATGGCTGAAGAGAGGACCCAAGAGATACTATGGACAATTGAACCAAATGTACTATCTGAGGTGAACAGAAAGGATGTTATTGAATATGTTCAAAAGTTGATTGGAGGTTACCATGAATCAGAGGTTAGAAATTTTGATCCATTCATCATATTTGTAAATTTCTGTGGGTGCAGTTGGTTTTCTACATTTGGTTTTTTCTTTGTTGAATGAAGTTGCTTTCTTGATTTCATAATTAATTGAGTGTTCTTGTAACTTTTTCTGCTTTAAATAATTTGTATATAATTAGATCCTTTTGATGTATGCTTTAAATGTTCTTTGACTTCTGTTTAGAAATGATTGATGGAAATTTCTTTTCCTTTTTCCTTTTTCCTTTTTTTCCCTTACACACTTACCCTTTTAAGAGTAGTTAGATTCAAATGTAATTTCATTATTTCTTCTACTGTCTTAACTCTTAACATGATTTTACAACCATGTTGTTGGCTTTTGTATACTTCTTCCATACCTTAGATGAGCAGATTATTGACACCTTCCCCTGTCAACTCCATCTTTTTCATTTTATATTTAGATATCTAAAAAATCCATAAAAATCATGCCATGGAAAACCAGGTTACCATTTGCAAGAACTGTGATCAATATAATCCTGCTTTTGCAGATTGGCTTAACCTTTCCATGCCATGTGTTTTGTTTCCTTTACACTGTGCACTTCCTCTTAGAGGAAAGAAAACCTTTTCCAATTGAAATGCCTGAATTGAATGATATTGAGGTAAATTTTGCAAGTAATTGATTGCTCTAGTGAACATGGTTGACTTGAGGAATTAGACACTATTTTCAAAAGGAAAAAAGCTTCTTTTTTCAAATTTACTGATATTTTTTAAACCATGGTTGTCACTTTAAATTTCAAAAGCCTTTTGTTTTTGGTGCCAATAACTAGTTGAGTTGATTCATTATGTTTATACCATTATATTGGTAATCATAAATGAATGTTTTACCTATTTGTGGATCATCTACAGGTCTTCGCATTGGGATCTTTCCCCCTGAAAACCTACCTTCCTGATGGAGATGTTGACTTGACAGCTCTCAGTCGTGTAGATGAAGAGGAGGATTTGGCTCAAACAGTGTGCGATTTACTTCAAAGTGGAGAAGACCCTGAATACCAAGTCCAAGATGTACAATATATACGTGCACAGGTTTAGAAACAATTTTTTCTGTTTAAACTCTTATAATCAACTTCCTGATTTTTTATATTCAAAATTAATCCTTCTCTGTGTTTGACCTGATCAGAAAGAGTAGTGTTTAATGTTCTTTTTGTCAAAGTACATGTCTCAACTTCATTAGACTTCCTTTTTTATGTTTGCGTGATGGGCTGTAGGTCCCGCTAGTCAAGTGTACTATTAAAGGTATAGCTGTTGACATCTCTTTCAATCAGATGCCAGGACTCTATACTCTACGCTTCTTGGAACAGGTATTTGTATTAATTAACATTTACGCCTAATTGATGTTTTTTGATTTCTACATACCATGTGCTTAACATGTATAAGCTTAAATCTCTCTTGTGGCTTTTTGCGTGTGTACAGTTTATGTATGCTTGAACTTGATAGTTAGGTAGACCTTATCTGTGGTTAGTCTCAAGTATTAGAACTGTATGTATTTAGTGCTCTAATTCTGTGTTTCAGATGTCATGTTATCAATTTATCTTTTTCTGTTCATATTCAGTCTTTGCTAATTTGTTAATTGAAAATAATTTAGGTTGACCAACTTGTCGGAAAGAACTATATTTTCAAACGCAGTATTATCTTGATCAAAGCTTGGTGCTATTATGAGAGCCGACTTCTTGGTGGACACTTTGGCCTGTTAACAACATATGCATTAGAAATATTAGTGTTGTATATAATTAATCGTTTTCATTCATCAGTGCGTGGTCCTCTAGAGGTGAGTCAAGTCTTCCATCACAAATATTCTTTGAACCCTTTCAGCATCTGTATTTATATCTACTTGAAGAATAAAACCACTGAATCATTACTACTAGCAGGTACTCTACATATTTTTGGACTACTACAGGTCATTTGATTGGGAGCATAATTATATTAGCATATGGGGTCCAAGAGCCTTATCCTCCCTTCCAGAAATTGTTGGTATGTGTTGTGATGCATAAGCAATTGGATCTATTTTCAATCTTCACTTCAGTCCTTGATATATCACATCACGCTTGTCGCAGATATACCGGAATGTGATCGGGGTCAGTTCTTGCTCCAGAAAGAATTTCTCCAAAATTACAAGGATATGTGCTCTTCTTTTACCGCAAGGGCATCCGAGAATGTGACCCAAGAATTTTCTGTTAAGAGCATGAACATCTTGGATCCTTTAAGAGATGACAACAACGTAGGCCGCAGTGTCACAATGGGTAATTTTTCCCACCAAAACATCAACGGATTATGCTGAACTTTATTTATTTATTTATTTATTTTATTGTATTTTAATTGCTTTTGAGCATTCATACTTCATAAAGACTAAAGGGACTTGAGAAATTTATGTACTTCCCAGTCTTGCCTCATGGAAAAATTTTTATAGTTGGGAAGATGTTTACACATGGTTTAAGAACATCTACAACTTATGCCAGTGAAAAATGCATCAAGGCTTGGATGACTTTATATATGACGTTGAAATAATAAGAGATTGTGATGTTTCATGACATTGTCTGTTTAAATACAAGTTACAAATATTTTGAGTTTCTCTACTGGAAAATAAAAATGTTACTTTCAGTAAAACTTGTAAAAACACTTCTATGTTTGTTTCCAAACACGCTCTATTTAAAATTTGTAATGGTTACTTCTTTAAATTCATAGTTCTCTATGAGACTATGACTAACTTGTCTATCTTGTTACTTACCTGCAGCAAGTTTATATCGAATGAGATTAGCATTTTCCTATGGCTCAAAAAAGCTCAAGAAGATCCTCAAACTTCCAGGACAATACATGGGTGCAGCACTTGAGAAGTTTTTCCGCAGCACTTTGGACAGGAATGGGAAAGGACAAAGGGCAGATGTAGACATTCCTGTTTCTCCATTTGGCACTGGAAGATCAGAAGAGTCTGTCATCCGTGGAGATTGTAATAGTTACTATGGTGCCTTACAATATATTCAGAAGATTAATGCCAAGCCACCCCTGACTGAGAATTCCAGTTTTTCAATTTCACCTTCTCAGGATCATATCCCTGCACTGTCAATGCAGCAACACTGGAGCATGTTTTACCCAAGCGGCACTGAAGTATATATCCCGCCGGAACAGACACTCTATCATCCAACATACGAAGGAGGAATGTCACGGGGAACCGGCACATACATACCTGACTTGGTATGTTGTCTTTCTTCTCAAATTTTATCTATTTAGTCCTTCTCACAAATTTTTTCATAAGTACTTGCGGGAGAAGAAAACTAGGAAGGTAAAATGAACTGAGCTTCTAGCGTAGTGCACTTAGCTTCTTCAAAAGCTAAAGTGCTTAAGTTGATGATTGCTTATGGAGAAGTTAAATGCATTTTACCTTCTTATTTTCTCCTTATAAGTGTGTTTATGAAGAAGTTTATCCAAATACATGACCTTGTATTGTGATAACACACAATATCATCCCAAAAATGGTTGAACCTTGCAGAATTATAATTGCTACTGGGATATACGCGCAAGGGCGTCTAGGCCAAGGAGATTTGTGTCTCCAAGGCACTATGAATTTCCCACACCACCTGTGAATAATCAACAAGAGGAGGAGGTTCATTCTGAGAAAGACATGAGTGGTAATTCAGATTCAAGGTCATTGGAGATCTCAAGTGAAGATTTCCCCCTTCTTTCAAACATTCCCAAGGCTACACCAGCAACACAAGCCCAAGAGTCTTCACCATTAGCCAAGGCTCATTCTGAGACAGACATGGGTGGTAGTTCAAGGTTGTCTGGACTCTCAAAGGAATACTTCCCCCTTTTTCCAGGCATTCACAAGGCTACAACACCACCAACACAAGTCCAAGATTCCCCTCCATTAGCAAAGGCTCATTCTGAGACAAACATGGGTGGTGATACTTCAAGTTTCTCTTTACTCTCAGATGAATATTTCCCCCTTCTTCCAAGCACCCACAAGGCCACACCACCAACACAAGCCCAAGAGGTTGCTCTATTAGAAAAGGTTCAATCTGAAACACAGATGGAGACTAATTCAAAGTGGTTTGAGCTCTCAAATGAGGATTTCCCCCTTCTTCCAAAGCTTCGTTCTGTGACACACATAGGTGGTAATTCAAGTTCGTTTGAGCTCTCAAAGGAAGAATTCCCCCTTCTCTCAAGCACTCGCAAGACCACCCCTTCAGAGTCTACTCAGTTAACCAAGCAAGGCAAGAGTTCCCTATCCTCTAAACTGAAAAATGTTGATTTTGGAACACTCAGTTACAAGAATTCACAAGCACTTGCAGAACCAAGTTTGTCCACAAAGGGTGAGAAAGGAGATTCTGGTGTTTCACTGTCTCAAGACACTGTGCAGGAAGTTCCGAAGGTGGCAGTAAAGATGGAAGAGGAATCTGCCGAGAGCTATGAGAAATGGATTGACAGTATTTAATGTGGACATTTTCTAGGATATCGAGGATGAACATCAGGGTGGTTCAGTTCTGATGTGGTCATGTTCTGATCAACGAATAAAATAGTAGTAAATATTTCCTTCTTTGTTTTCTTTATATGATGATAAGGTGTAAATTTGGGAGAAACTAGAATAGGTTGCCATTGCCAGTGATAGTCTCAAACTTCATAGGAATAAACATGTGGAAGGAATATTACCATTACTCTAGGAACACAAAAAGACTATGGCATCTCCCTTCTATTTTCTGGATGAACTTGTACATGATAATGTTTAAGTTAAATAAATCTTTTGATGTTTTATCATTTTATGGTCTGCTTATTGTTATGTTTGGATTGATAATAAAGAACGGTACATATTGGATCTGAATATAATAAGATGGAATGAATTAGATTGAAGTGAAATAGAAATGTTATTCTATTGTTTGGATATTCTATAATGACGTCATTTGGGAAAATGGAACGAACGAAATAGATATATATTTTTAATTTCTATGTTATTTGTATTTTAAAAAAAATTATATTTTATATTTTCTTACTTAAATATTAACAGTAAAATAATGTTTTGTAAGAAAATAATTGTAAATTAATGTTTTAAAAAAATATTAACAGTTTTGTAAGAAAACTAGTATTTCAGACTTTTAGTTGGAATGTAGAAAATAAATATTTATTTTATAGGTTAATTAGATTTTAAAGTCTCCTATAATATCCAAAGTTCAATGATTTTTTATTTCCTTTTTTAATATTATTACATTACTTTGCTTCTTCAATCTTTAAAATATGTAATTTTAATATCTTCTCTTATTTGATTATTAATCAACCATCAGTTAATGATTATGTGATATGTTGACATTAACGTGACATTTTATGGTCATATCTAATAGTAGTTTTTTAATTGAGTTCTTGTACACTAAAATTATTTTCTTTTTCTTTTTGCAAATTTTAGCATTAGAGCATTTTGACATTGTTGACAATAATGTAAGAACTGATTTTATACAAGAATCTCAAGAACATATTGTTAACGATAAGAAAAATTGTTTTAATTTTTAATGATATACATACTTCCTTTGTTTTTAATTATGGGGAGAATTTTGATTTTACATATATAAAGAAGTTAATTATTTGTATTAAAATTCATTAATCTTATAATATTTTTCTAAATTATCTTGGTTATAAATGTGTAATAAAGTAGTACAATTAAAGAATTATGTATTAAGGGTTGAATATTTTAGAAGAGTATCATTAAATGAGAGAAAAGTAGTTAAAATTTGTTTATTTGTAAAAAAAAATGTATTTCATTTAGCTGCTTATATACAAAACAACATAAGTATATGTGTATATGAATGTCAATGGGTTAACGCAAGTACATGTAACAGACTCCCTTTAGATCCATCAGATAAATATTTGTTTTGTACTCATCTTCACATCCATGTTGTATCTATTAAGCGAGTATTCGTGTATTTTTTTTTAATATTTATGGGTATTCACAAATATTCGTGAATGTTTATTTTTTAAAAATAAATAATTTTTAAAATATATTTAATAATAATTTCTATTTATATTAATGATTTTTTTAAAATAATAATTTAAAAGTTAAAATTTAAATTATTCAAATATTATACAAAATTTTACTAATCAAGGTTTTTAATTTAAAAAATAAATGTAATTGTTAAAGTACTTTATTTTTATAAGTTTAAACAAATTTAATATGTAATTATATAATTGAATATTAGTAAGTACCAATAGGTACGGATATTATGATACCTATACTCACCTCATTAACATGCGGGTAAAGAAAATACTCGTACTTATTACTTGCAGATATTTGTTTACAATATCAATTTTCTATCCATAACAAATTTTGTTTGTGTATACAATTTTTTTTTTCATCAGTGTGGATATATATATATATATATATATATATTCGTATCTTTTAATATATTTAAAAAATAAAAAATAAAAACTTAGTGAAGAACTACTATGATGAATATGGTGAAGAATTAAGAATTTGGATAAATATGACTATTCATATGATATTTTTATAGACGACTTATTATTTGTATGAATAGGAAATTCTTTATGACATAAAGATTTATACGTCTTAATATATTTTAAAAACAAAATAATATAAAACAAAAACAGAAAAAGAACTTAGCAAAGAACTACCATGATGAATATGGTGAAGAATTAAGAATTTGGATAAACATGACTAGTCATGTCACTCAAGTTAAGTTATTTCATTAGAACAAAAATAGAGAAAATTCTTAAATCTTATATGAGATTGAGGGATCCTAAAAGTACATTACGAACCTATAACGAATTTTATTAGAGATGCTTTAATGATAACATAACACTTTGGTAGTAACATAGTGATTGATCCCTACAATAAATTTCACTATTTAAACCAATTGATCACTTACCTTCTTAAATTAAAATTTGAACACCATATTATATATAATATTATTGGATAAGTTAATTGTGTCTTTTTAAATTTCTTATTTAATGTTAAACTTAGTTTAAAATCAATAAATAATAATTTCATTTAAAAAATAATAATTTTTTAGTAAATTAATTATATAATATATTATTTAATATAGTTATATGGAATAAATATAAAAATACAATTTCTTTTATCTTTTATTTCTTTTTTAAATGAGTTAATCACCTATACACTGTCAGTATAAAGTTTTTTTACACTGGCAATCAATCATATCTTTTAATAGTGTCATGTGAATTGCTCATTTAATGAAATAAAAATAAAATAATTTAAAGGATATGATTGGTTTCTAATGTAAAAAACTTTACACTGACAGTGTATGGATAATTAACTCTTTTTAAATTGTCTTTTCTCTTTGGTGTGACATTGGTGGTAGTAGCAATGACATTCGTAATAGTAACGATGATGGTACACCAATTCATTATTGTAACATTATCATCATTGATGTCATGTGGTGGCGACAACGATAGTGGTAGTTATGAATCATTACTCTTGTTGTCGCTCCATCACTGTTGTCGCTAGTAATGTTACCAAAAGTGATGATGATGGTGATTGTAACGCTGAGTGTAGCTATTTGACAAATGAATACTTCTTATACTAAATTTTAAAAAAAATTAACTATTAATTATTTTTATCTATAATCTAAAGAGTAGGGATGACAAATATACTCGTACTCGTGGGTAATACTCGAACCTATCCTGACTTTGACAGGGAATACCTAGTTTGACCGGGTATGGGTATGGGTACGGGTAAAACCCGATATATTAAATCGGGTATGGGTACGGGTACGGGTATGTACTTACCCGACCCGTATCTGTACCCGTCCTCGTTCCTATTTTTAATTTAATACTCACTTTCAATTTAATTATATTAAAAAAATTTAATATTATTTTATGTGTGATTATTTATTATAATATGAGATAAAGAAATAACCTAATTATAATTATAATATGATAAAAAAAATTAAAAATATTATATTTTTTTTACAAAAAATAAAAAATAAAAAAAAATTGACGGGTACAGGTACGAGTACGGATATACACGATACCCGACAGGGACGGGGATGAGAATGAAAATCACATACCCAACAGGTACAGGTACGGGGACGGGATGAGTTTGGCTCGCGGGGACGGGGACGGGTATCATGAAACTCGTACCCGACCCGCCCTGTTGTCATCCCTACTAAAGAGTATAGAAATAAAAAATAAAAAAACCTATTTAATTATAAGTTTACAAAAATTAATGTTGCATTAACAACATTAAAAAAACTTTTTTTTCCTTAATTTTATTTTATTGTTTCTATTTCGTTACTTTAAAAAAATGTTTTAAATCCTTAAAAAAAATATGTTTTGGTTCTATCAGTATCATATGTATCTACATTGTTAAAAAATATTTTAAACTAAAATATTTTAAAACCAAATAAAAAGTTATATATATATATATATAGAGAGAGAAAGAAAGGACTCCATTTACTCCAAGAATAAGTCTATCAAACCTACTTAACTCAACATCTTCTCTGTGTAGAAGTTTTGAAACAAGTTCTTGGTTCCAACATCTTGTAGTATTATCTATAAGGTAGTTGGCACACACCTCTAGGTCACCCTCCATTGATATGATTAAATATACGCACAATTTTTCTCCCTGAGCCAAGGATCACCCTAAATACGAACACCACTCCCATTTCCTATCTAACATTGGGACCCCAAATTCACCAATACTTGGGAATGCTAGATGTTACGCCAAGTGAAACTTAGATTGTGACCAACAATGGCCTCCAAGAAGCACCCTTTGGGAAAATATTTAGCTTTGAGAACTTTATCAAGAATAACATCAAGGTTGGTCATTATATTCCAACATTTTTTTCCCTAACATGGCAAGGTTAAATCCACAAAGATCGCAGAAATCAATATCTCCATAGTCCTTTTTCAACATCAATTTCTCCCACTTCATCCAGTTTAAACCTTTGCCACCATTTCTACTTGAACCCCACTAAAATGAGTTCATCATTCTCTTAAGCTCCTCTGTCAATGTTTGCGATAGTAGGAATGCTCTCATGTTAAGTTGGTATTGTTTGTAGAACCGACTTCATCATGATATCCTTATCAACCTGTGATAGTTTTTTTCCACTCCTTGATTGCACCCTGTGCAATATTCTATCTCATAAATACGTGAACAAGGCTTTCTTTTCCCTTCCTATCATAAATGACATACCTAGATATTATTGGAAATAAAAAAATCTCCTTCTCTTTTACGCACAATAACGATGAGAGAACACATTAAAACAACACCATAAAGAAATAGGAAAAAAAATCATACAAAATTTATTTAATGTGATTTGACCATTCATGCCTACGTCACCAAGATGTTCATTATATATCTCAAAATGTATTACATATTTATTTGAAAATTCTCCTTTCAAGTTTTGTGGGTTAAACTTGAAAATCCCTCCTCACAAATTTTATGGGTGAAACTTGAAAATTCCTTCCTCACAAGTTTTATGGATGAAACTTGGAAACCCCTCCCTCACAAGTTTTTTGGAAAAACTTGGAAAACCTCCTTCATATGACCTCTTCTTTCATTTAAGGTGGTGCCTCTTCTATAGGTTCAGTGGTTCTTCTCATTTCAAAAACCTCTATTTATTGATCTAACATCCTAATATTAAAAGAGGAAACAAATCTCTAAAATAAATATAATATTTTTAATTATAAAGAGTATCTTAGAGATTTGAAATTAAAAATTTGAACTATTTTCCCAACAGATATATACTTGTGCCAAGGACTTTCGTAACATACAGTATGTCAGCCACTAC